TTTATGTCACTCTTCGTTCCTCGGCGGTGGACAAACCTCCCTTTAGCAGACCTCCCCTTAATGAAAACGGCCTGGGACCGAAACCGACGGACCTGGACCCGCAAAAACAACGGCCGCGCCGCCCTCTTGCGAACCGAAAACGGAAAATTCCTAAATCGACGTGTCAGGGTAGGAGGTTTATCCAACCCCGACTCCCCTAATCTAGGAGGCCTAGACGTTACCCCTGCAGGCCTCCAGTCGTGCGGGTCCCGCGAAGTCCCGGCGCTCTCCGCCGGCCCAGCAGCGCCACCGGCCTCCCGCGGGCCTGCGGGGCAACGACAAAGGGGGGGGGACTGGCCTCGGGGGGACGCATCGACCTGGCATCGGCGATGCCTCGCTCCGAAATAGGGGGGGGGGGGACTGGCAACTGGCATCGGAGGGGGGGGACTGGCATCGGGGGGGACGCATTGACCTGGCATCGGCGATGCCTCGCTCCGAAGTAGCGAATCCGCACCTTCCTGGGCAGCTTGGGGCCATCGGGCCCCCATCGGCGATCAGTGGGCGATTGGGGGTCGCCCCTTCTGAAGGTTTTCATCCCTTCTGTCCCCTTTCCCCCGCCCTGTTTCGCTCCCCGCCCCTGCATGCCCGAGAAGCAATCCACGCAAGACGGTCGCACGTTTGCCCGGGTGCCGGAGGCACGGGCCAAGTTGTTCCCCCCGAGTTCTGGATTGGCACAGCCTTCGGGCCGATCGGGAGTAGCGTAGCGTAGCGTTGTGGATGCCACGACAATGGACACCCCAACAGTCCTATCATTGAACTTAAGATGTGTTTAAACTGTCGGAAATATGTTATAAACATGTTTAAACATGTGTTTTACGTGTTGGAAACATGTTCCACACATGTTTTCTAGACATCCGGAAATGATTTGGCAACACGCTCCCTCTCCCTTGATCGCCCTCCACGAGCGTAGCGTAGACTCCCCCCCCCCTGAGCCTATCCCCCCCTATCATATCTTGGGCGCCCGAGTTATCCGGGGTAACTCGGGTTTGGATTCCCGAAAAAGGAACCCGAGTTAGCCCTGACCCGAGTTACTCCTGATGATGTGGGGTTCTGGACGCCCGAATTATCCGGGGTAACTCGGGTCCAGGGTAAGTCGGGTTTGGATTCCCGAAAAACGAACCCGAGTTAGCCCTGACCCGAGTGACCCCTGATGATTCGGGGCTCTGACTATCGTTGCCCCTGAGGGCCGCAGTGCGGCGCGGCGCGCTGCGCAGGCGGCGCGCCCGCCGGGCCGGCGGCGCCAGGCGCTGCGAGCGGCGGGGCGGCCGCCGGGCCTGCAGCGGCGCCGGGCGCATCGGCCTGCGGCGGGCTGCCCACCTCGGGCGGGGCCTCGTCGCCGCCGCCGCACGCCAGGTCGTCGAGCGCGCCCTCCACCTGGGAGGGGGCCCAGGGACACCCCGATGAATACCTACAAATCCCAGGACTCCCCACAATTTCTCAAATGTTCTGGGTCTTCGTCCTCCCCCCCCCCCTTTTCCCCCTGTGCTCCATAGCGATTTCTTCTGGGGATCGACGATGCATGGTGTCTGTATTCTGCCCCTGCTGAGCCACCTTGCCCTCGACTGCGCCCTCCGCCTTCGCCGTGGCCAGCTCGCTGGCCGAGGAGGCCTCGCTGACCGTGCTGGGCGTGCAGGGTGGCCCCTCGGGCTCTTCGCACCAGCGGGTTCCGCGGACCACGACCTCGAGCCGGCGGGCCTCGGCCAGCTCCTCGGCAAGGGCCCGGGAGTCTCCGGAGCGCCCGTTGACACCGACGATCTCGTCGCCGGGTATCACCTGCCTGCTGGGGTAGGCTCTGTTCCACATCTCCAGTAGGCCCCCGCCCGCGACGTCTTCCACCAGCAGGGCGTGGCCACTCTCAGAGTGCCCCGCGCGCAGGCCGAGAGCCCTGCCGTGTTCCCTGGGGAGGACCACGCTGAACTCGCGCTGCACGACCCTGTCCGTCGAGGGCGCCGAGGGGATGATCGTGGCGCACTCCTTCGCGCACGCGCCGATCGCCCGATCGAATTCCAACAAGTTTCGCGGGTCCAGGAGCCTCTGTCCGCTGACGCGCTCGCTGCTAATCCAGCCGCGGCGCTGCTGCCCGCGCTCGGCCACGGGCACGGCGCTCACGTGCAGGCGGATGGGGCCATCGTGGCCGCCGGTGCAGCCGCTCGGTGTGGTCACGCGGCGCACCTCGTGCACTCTGACGACCGCGCCCGCCGTGAGCGTGCTGCGCAGGGCGCTGTCGTGCGCAGGCGTGCTGCGGAGCGTCACCGTGCGCAGCACCCTGCTGAGGGGGAACGTCGGGGGAAGGAGGGGCTGGCTCAGGGTGGGAAACATCGAGCCTGAGTCGGCGACACATGCCCCGATCGGCCCCGAATAACGCATCCGCGCGATCCTGGGCGGGGATGGGCTCATCAGTCCCGTGCCGGCGATGAATGGTCGATGGGGGGCTGATGCGTTCCCCTCTGAGCCTACCCCCCCCCCCAATCCGCCGATCCGGCGTGTGAGTTTCAAGGAGTCTCAGCTACAGCCTCGAGGCTGAGCCTCAGCCTCTGGGGGGTTTGCCGGGGTGGCTCTGCCGGGGAAGGGGGGCCCGGGGGGGGGGGTGCGAGTTTCCGGCGGATGCGTTTGTTGACACCCCTCACAAGGATCGTGGCCTCCGTGAGCCTACCCCCCCCCCCATAGCACTGCCTCTGACCACCCCTCGATGAATACGACGAATGTCCCTTGGCTTTCGGGGCACAAATCAGGTCTCCAGCGGCCGTTCGCGACGATCCGCGCAAGCCGGGAATGCTCTCGGCGAGGCGCAGCTGCGGCAGAGAATCCCGAGGCTGGAAAACCTCCGATGACTGGCGGAAGCTTCCGATCGCGTCTTACCGTCGAGGAACAAGCAATGACAATATCACAAACTTTCAAAGGTCCGCGCTGATGTCTTCGATCGGAGCTGGAACGCCGCGGCGCCAGAGGCATCGCCAGGAAGTTCTGGCGCCAATCCCAGAAATCCGCGCTAACCTTCGAAAGTTGATATGTGCGTCAATGTTTTGTCCTCGGTTGCGCTCCCTTCCTTTTCCTTATGAATAACTCCTCCCTGTCGCATCCCGAGGCCAGTTTCTAGGGCGGGCAAGGCGTTTCGCCTGAGACTTCCTCACCACTTATGACTCTGAAGCTTAAAAATAATCAACAGCTTCAAAGATGGAGGGCGGGTGGTTTTCAATATGTGGCTCTGGTCTTAGCGCCGCGCACATTCGTTTTGAAATACGCACGAACTTCACGGATTGATGCAAACCCGTTTTCACAATGTGGTTCTCGCCACAGCGCGGCGCACATCCGTTTTGAGCATTTGCAGAAGCTTCACGAATTGAGGGCGGTTCCTTTTCAAAATGTGGGTCTCGCCTTAATGCCGCGCACAGTGTTTTAAAATACGTGCAATAATTTCACGGATTGAGGGCGGCTCCTTTTCAAAATATGGCTATTGCCTTAGAGCCGGGCATATTCGCTCTAAAGATGTGCAACAAATCACGGAATCCCACTGCAAATGGGAAGCTGTGTTTTGGAAGGGTTCAGAATTTTGCGGGTGCAACAGTTACGTTGGTTCGCGGTGATGGAATCCCAAGAATGGCGTTCTAGCGCGATCCAGGATCGCAAGGTGCAACAGTCAGGTTGATCCATGGCGTTGGAAACCCGAGAACAGTGTTTTGGCATGCTCCCGGGTCTTCAAACTGTAGTCTTCCAGCGAGGCAGATAGATCCCTGAATGGAGATGAACCGTTGTAGAGGCCTGTGAATAGGGAGCTTGGACGGAGGGTGTATTCAAACCTTGTTGGTGGCCCTTCGGTTTACACTGGTCCTGCCCCTCCTCCTCCTCCTCCTCCTCCTCCTCCTCCTCCTCCTCCTCCTCCTCCTCCTCCTCCTCCCCCTCCCTCCTCCCCATCTTCCACCTCCTCCTCCTCCTGCTCCCTCCCCCTTGCTCTCCTCCGCCTCCCTCGTCCTGTTCGTCCAATTTCCCCCTCCACCTCCTACTCCTCCACCTCCTCCTCCTCCTCCTCTTTCTCCTCCTCCCTTTTCCCTCCTCCTCCCCCTCCTCCTCCTCCTCCTCCTCCTCCTCCTCCTCCTCCTCCTCCTCCCCCTCTTCTCCCTCCTCTCCTCCTACTCCTCCTCCGTCCTCCCTCTTCCCTCCACCATCCCCCATCCTCCCACACCCCCCTCCTCCTCCTCCTCCTCCTCCTCCTCTTCCTCCTCCTCTTTCTCCTCCTCCTCCTCCATGTCCTCGTCCTCGTCCTCGTTCTCGTCCTCGTCCTTCTACTCGTTCTCGTCCCCTCCTCCTCCTTTTCCACCTCCCCCTTTTCCTCATCCTCCACCTCATCCTCCTCCCTCCTCCCTCCTCGCTCATGCCCCCCCTCGTCCTCGTCGTCCCCTTCACCTCCCCCCCCTCCCTCTTCTCCTTCCTCCTCCTCCTCCTCGTCCTCCTCCTCCCCCTCCTCCTCCTCCTCCTCGTCCTCCTCCTCCTCCTCATTGTCCTTCTGCTCCTCCTCATCTTGCCCCATCACCCTTCCTTCCCCCCTCCTCCTACTCCCTCCTCCCTCCTCCGTCCTCCCTCCTCCATCTTCCCTTCACCCTCCACCATGTTCCATTCCTCGCAGGGGGTAGATCGGATCGCGCACGAGGCCAGCGAAGGAATAGAGAGAGGGACAGAGTGTGTGGTGCGATCGGGTATTTAAGGGGGTACAGGTGTGATCCTTCCAGGAACACTAAGTGTGCGTGCGTGTGGATATTGGGTGGACCATTGGAACCCACTGCCAGCCCCATGCGGGGTCTTGGCAGCGAGGAGGAGGGCAAGTCCCGAGAAGCACAGGCCCCGTGCGGGACCTGCGCAGGTACGCTCCCCCCCCCCGGCGTGCACCTGGGGAGGCGCGCGCGTATGGGGGAACACCCGCACCTTACCTATGATGCGGGACGCCTCCTTCAGGCTGCCGTTCCATAAAAGGGGGCCGCAGCGGGGTGCGCCGCACTGCATCCTGTAATGCCCCCGCTGGCAACCAACACGGCACAAAACCACGCCACGGCGTGGTCAGCTTTTGGTTCCGCGGGGCAAAAAACCCCAGGACCGTAAGTATCCGGAACGTGCCGTGGGATACCGGCCCGCGCGCCGCGCTACCCCACACGAGGCACGAGCAAATCTTATGACGAAACTGGGCGGGTGGGCCCAGGGAGAGTTTCGCCAAGGCTCGAGCCCGCGGCTATGGGTAGCGACGGCGATGGTGACGACGATGGTGATGATGAGGATGACGTCGACGACGATCGCTCGTCACAAACTGTGGCAATCTTAACGGTCGCCGGGATACTCTGCTTTGTGACGGGGGGCGGGATTTGTCCGCCCCAGCGTGTCGAGACACGAGAAAGCTATATAGCGATGTCGTAACCCACGGGGAAGTGAAATAGCGATGTCGCAACCCACGGGGATTTCCCCACCCCCTGACCGATGAGATCCGCATCCCTGCGATATCCCCGCCACGCGACGATCATACTGATAGGCGCAGCCCCCCTTTCACCTTATGTCAGTCTACCTTTCTTCGCAGGGGCTAGTTAGGATCGCGCACGAGGCCAGCGTGGAGACAAGGCGGACAGATTCGATGGCCACGGGAGGATGCAGAGACAGTGGGCGAAGGAATGGAGAGAGACAGAGTGTGTGGTGCGATCGGGAATTTGGGCGGTTAAATGTGCGATCCTTCCAGGAGCACTACGTGTGTGTGTGGATATTGGGTGGACCATTGGAACCCACTGCCAGCCCCATGCGGGGCTCTGGCAGCGAGGCCCACAGAAGCACAGGCCCCGTGCGGGAGCTGCGCAGGGACGCTCCCCCCCCGCTTGCACCTGGGGAGGCGCGCGCGCGTATGGGGAACACCCGCACCCTACCCTATGATGCGGGACGCCTCCTTCAGGCTGCCGTTCCATAGCAGGGGGCCGCAGCGGGATGCGCCGCACTGCATCCTGTAATGCCCCCGTTGGCAACCAACACGGCACCAAACCACGCCACGGCGTGGTCAACTTTTGGTGCCGCGGGGCAAAAAGCCCCAGGACCGTAAGTATCCGGAACGTGCCGTGGGATACCGGCCCGCGCGCCGCGCTACCCCACACGAGGCACGAGCAAATCTTATGACGAAACTGGGCGGGTGGGGCCCAGGGAGAGTTTCGCCAAGGCTCGAGCCCGCGGCTATGGGTATCGACGGCGATGGTGACGACGATGATGATGATGAGGATGACGTCGACGACGATCGCTGTCGTCACAAACTGTGGCAATCTGACCGGTCGCCGGGATACTCTGCTTTGTGACGGGGGGCGGGATTTGTCCGCCCCAGCGTGTCGAGACACGAGAAAGCTATATAGCGATGTCGTAACCCACGGGGAAGTGATATAGCGATGTCGTAACCCACGGGGATTTCCACACCCCCTGACCGATGAGATCCGCATCCCTGCGATATCCCCGCCCCACGAATGTCATACTGACAGGCGCAGCCCCCCTTTCACCCTATGTCAGTCTACCACCACCCTCCTCCTCCTCCTCCTCCTCCTCCTCCTCCTCCTCCTCCTCCTCCTCCTCCTCCTCCCTGTTCTCCTCCTCCGCCTCCCTCGTCCTCCTCCTCCCTCCTCCTCCCCCTCCTTCTCCTTCTCCTACTCCTCCTCCTCCTCCTCCTCCTCCTCCCCCCCCCTCCTGTTCCCTCCTCCCCCCTCCCCCTCCGTCTTCCTCCTCCTTTTCTTCCCCCTTTCTTCCTCCTCCTTTCCCCTCCTCCTCCTCCCCCCCCCTCCTCCCCCTTTCTTCCCCCTCCTCCCCCTTTCTTCCCCCTCCTCCCCCCTTTCTTCCTCCTCCTCCTCCTCCTCCGCCGCCTCCTCCCAATCCCCCTCCCCCTCCCCCTCCCCCTTCCCCCTTCACCTCCCCCCCCTCCCCCTCCTCCCCCCCCCCCCCTCCTCCTCGCTCGCTCGCTCGCTCCTTGGGCCTTAAAAGTTTGAGCCCGTGCCAGAAGATGAAAAGGTAAAGGTCGCGCACAGAATTCCGAATTCATGCGCGAGGAGGGGGGTCAGGGCGACCCCAACATAGGGGCAGCCAGCGGGCCCCCTTCAGAGTGCCCGACTGCCACTCCAGGAAAAGGCGGTCCTGTCGGCGAGGGGGTCGGGCCAGGGGCAATGCCCGACACCATGCCCCAGGCGGCCTCCCCTCCCCAGCACGCGTCCAGATGCGTCTTCTGGACTTTAGGGCCGTGGGTGAACACTATGCCGCCCCCCCATTGGA